ACAACCCCGGCGCCCGGTCGGCCAAGTCCACCCCCTTGCACAAGATGCGGGAGGTGATCATGGAGAGCCCGCTGGAGATCACCGAGTTATGACGAGAGGTGGTGGAGGTGCTCCTCTAGGCAAGCCGGGGCCAGCAGGGATGAAGCACCGACCAGGGGGGCCGTGGTGGGGGCCGGGGGCACCCCAAGACCGGCGCTTGGCCCCCCCTTCCCCTGCAGAAGGAGTCCAGGCCGACCGGTGCGGTTCGCTCCGGCAGCCTTCGAGAGCTTGGCCCCCGGAAAGGGCTCTCAGGACCGGTATGCTTTTACTCACCTGTCATTTATCCATGAAAGCATTAAATTTTTTTTATTTTTCTTATTAAAAAAGCAATGGGGTTTTTTTTAAAAAAAAAACAAAGAAAAGCTAAACGAATCCAATGAGTCCAGGCTGGAAGGTGCAGCGAAGGTGCGGGTGATGTGCCGCCGCAGCATCCCCGGGCACGGGCTGGGGACGAGCAGCCGTCGCGCCTCGACCACGGGCACGGGCAGGGCCGGGGCAGGACGAGGAGAGGCCGAGGCCGTTTGAGCTCATTCTGTAGTACAAGTGAGGGATTTTTACACTATTTTTTAAAGTAATTCATTAATATTAAAAAAAAAAAAAAAACCACACAACACCAAAACCGAAGACATTTCTCCATTTTGCTGGCTTTACCAAAACATGTTGTGACATCGAAAAAGAGAGAGACTGACAATAACTGGGGCTTCTGGATGTGGAGTGCTCGTGCGTGTCGTTTATGCCCTTTTCCCTTCCCTCTTGCTTTCGGGTTTGTTCGTTCGGGGGTTTGTTTCCAATCGTAACTTTGTGGAGAGTTTCGGGCACGGTCTGTTACGGGACTCAGAAATATACTGTCTCTGGCTTTGGGTAACCTGTCTGTCGTCCTTCTCCCCGGCCCTGCCGCGCCGGGTTCATCGTACCCAAACCACCTTTTGGGAAGAAAACCCCCTTTTTCCCTTAATTCACCCCTCCGCCCATCACCTTCGCGAGACGCCTCCCTGGGTGTCGCTGCACCCCGCATTTTTGGGGCAGCATTAAGCCCCCCCAGGCTTACCCCCCTTTGCCACG